GTATTTTCAGCTGAGGAGCTAGGGCGTTTTTGAAGAGAATTCCGGGATAAGGCATTCTTCAACCAAATTTTGAGGTAGGGAGTTCTTGAAAAGTTCTCTGAGATAGAGCGTTTTCCAACTGGCTGCCGGGATAAATCGACTAGCCACTCAGGTGACGATATACAGCGTTTTTTTTTTAATATTGCCAGATTTTATTAAATTGGAATGCTGAAAGACATGAATTCACAAATTGGTCTGCTTAAAAGTTAAAAGGCGCAGTCATTGCAGTAAAAAGCCTTTTGTTTACTCTTTTTATAAAGCTGTCCCTCCAAATGATAAATATTTCACTACTGACCGTATCAAGAATACCTAGAAAAGAGCTAATTTCTCAGAAACTGCCAAAATCGCAATATGAAATTGTTGAAATAAACTCAAAAGTCTTAAAATTTCAAAACGATCAATCAATTTCAAAAAAAGTTGTCAAAAGTATATATTTGCCTTTTAAAAAAATTAATTAATTTTAATAAAAGTAATTACTTTTTTAATTTACTAGTTTTTTTTTAATTTTTTTTTAATTATTAATTTAAATATGGTTGTTCGAAAATAAATAGCTAAATAACCAGACTAAAAAATCGATTTGACCATCTTCTAAGCAGTTGTCGTTAATTTTTTTTACAAAGAAAAGTACACCGTTATTTGCTTTGAAGTGTTCTTTATCAAATTCGAAGGACAAAAATGTTATTTCTGTAAGTACGAAAAACTGCTTTTTGCCAAAAACCGATACGCGTTCTGTTTAATAGCTATTAAATACAATGAACACACCATCTAACTTATTTAAAAAAAAAAAAGTATCTAATGTGGAATTTCCAACTAGAGCAAGTATGTGAAGAACCTTATTCCTATCGTATTTCATCCGAACAAATAATATAAACACCCTAGAATACTTTACTATGCATGAAAAAAATTATTTTTACTAATGTCATGGAAAAGGCATTAAAAGAATTGTGATGAGAAAAATAACCAAGTGTATATTACTACATGTAACTGAAAAAAACTCGCAGCAGTCATTTCCTCAGGAAAAATTGCATACAAGCCATAGTATCGTTTACTGTAGTTTTGATGAATATAAACGACTAATGGAGTAGTGTAAATTGGCATGACTCTCATACATAAAACCTAAGCCTTCCACTTATAAGGATTGTTGATTGCAGCAGTGTAATTCCATTTATTACCTCCGATATTTCCTTTATCACGCACTTTAGTTTCCACTATCAGGATGATTGCTTTAAAATTTTAAAAGCCAAAAATTCTTCAGTTTTAATGTAAATTCTTGGCGAAACTCTGCTGCAATGCAGCGACACATTAAAAATCATTTAAAACCCCTCAGGTGCCCATACACATACAAGCGCCCACATAAAGTTTCTGCCAAAGAAAATTTTAAGCTGCCAAAATTCCTTCCTACCCTTCCCCAAAAAAAAAGAAATCCTAAAACAATCTGGCATTATAAAGAATACCATTTCAGTGTCATTCAAATGCTGCCGTGAAAATTTTCGCGCACTTGATTGCATTTCTTTGCAGCGCACTGCTAGCGGCATAGAGTTCTTAATGCAGTTTCACTTGGCACTTTTCCCATTAAATAGTGCAACAACACCAATGGATAACAACAACAATTGAAATACTTATGAGCAACTTTTCCAACACTTTAGGTGACGTTGACTTTTTTCATACAAATATGCTATGTATATATGTAGCTATGGTAGTGCTTGTATGCATGGTGGCTTGCTAATGTTTGCATGTACATACATACTTATATATGTACACATGTAGGTGTGTTTGCTTAGCAGAGGCACGTCGAAAAGTTGAGTAAACCACAAATTACGGCGACACCATCACCTCTGCCGATTTGTGTGGGTGGAAATTTTTGGCAGTTTTAGGGTGGTTAAGCGAATGAACGCGTTTAGTGGGCGTGATAAAACGTACAAGTCTCATTTTTCACACTTTGAGAAGTGCACATACATACATACACAAGCACAAATTCACAAGTGAACTCATGCAAGCATTTGTACAATTGAAAGTGGCAGCAGACGCAGCGTGTCGCAGGAAAAGAAAAAAAAAGCCCAGCTAAGAAGCAAAGTAGTAAAGAAAGTGATCTACATTAAAGCGTAAAGTTTTACGCGCCACTCAAACTACTACCCGGTCGCGTTGCAACCATCCTGCGGCAATATGTTCGTTTGGAATGTGAATGCTATGGAAATGTCGGTTGCGTCGCATTTGAATGCATTTTTGATTTGTCATTCGTTGTGCGCCAACTTGAAAGAAAGTTTGTGGTGCACAATATTATTTCCCCTCCATGCCTGGCTGCTAATATGTGACTACTGGCTGGGTGAATGACTGCGAAAGGGGACATGATGATTGCAGTTTATGCGTTATTTTTATTTTTTTTTTGTAATTGCTTTGTTGTTGTTGTGCACTGTGTTTTTGTTGGTTGGAGCGTTGCATGGTGTTGCACATTAAGTCAACTGTACCAACAACAAAATTATATAGTAATGCGCCTTTTTGCCATTCACCGCTGATCATTGGTTTTGCTAAGCACAAAAGTGACGTAGCTTAAGTCTGTTCGAGGTGGAAGTTCTAAAATGCAAATGGAATGAGTAACAAATGCGATTGGAAGAGTTGGCGGAAAGACTTCGTGCGCTGAAGTTTATGAAACAAGCCAACTTTTGAATAGATTAAGTGCAAAGTTTTTCGCACTTTTACTAGGCAATGGCATATCGTTCCAAAGCGCCCAAAAAAAAAAACAAAGTTGGCGATAAAAACTTGCCTCTTAAAGGCATAGACGTAATTCGTGATAGAGAGTGCGTACCAACTACTTATGGAGTTAAACATATGTACATATATGTACGTATGCATGTATGCAAGTACATAGACCGCCAAATAAACAACTGTAGACAGACTTAAATTGCAATTGCAAAGCTACACAAAGGCATAAGACGTAATGATGCAACAAAGAAACAAAACATACAACAAACTTTTCAAGTGTCATTAAAAGTGTAGCGGAAGTTTCCATTGGAGGATCTGTATTCGGGTAACATAAATAACGGAAAAAACCTTTTACGATTCAAAATGGTTTTCAGGTTGTTTTCTAGGATTGTTCTTTACCGAAAAAATACTTCCATATGTTTTATTTTGAAATAAAAAAAAAAAACTTTTCGTAGAAATGGTATAAAATTCTTAAAAAACTATATTTTTCGATCGGAAAGCTCTGCTTATCTGCAGAGGATTCGCTATAACAATACCCAATTATTTATTTGACCATTCTTGACCCAACTGTTTGATTGTCACCCAGCTGTTAGAGTAAATTTTAACTTCCTTAACCGCCAACGCTCACAATAGCAGCCAATAAACTGTTTACTTAACAACAGCAATCTCTGCCTGGAAAGCACTACAGCGGTACTGAAGCTGAAGGTTTATGTAGTACTTCTCGGAAAAGATCCCTGTACTGACCATTCAGTCAAGCTTCGACACATCCACGTCCACTCGTTCATTGACTGGTGCCAGTCTAGACAAGAATTGATACTTGTTATTCAAGCATAGTGTAAAGGGCCAGGGTAGTATTGGACCAAAGTGCTGGAATGAAGCTCGTTGCAATTCCTCCAACTTACTAACTAGCGTAGCTTTCTTCAGTGCATTACAAAAGACGAGGAATCCATAAAATATAGTGGGCTTCGCTATGGTTTCATAGAACCAGGATATGACTTTGGGAGAAAGACCCAATCTCTTACATTTTTGAATCAAGTTTTTTACAAAGCAAATAAGAATATGGCCGTTATTCAGTCAATTGAAGAGTTTTTAAAGTTTGAAAGGCTCGCATCAGAATTTCACCTCGCATTTATTTTATTACAAAAGTCTCGTTAATATAAGCATCTTATACAAATGTTTAGGAACATTTCCTGAAGAAAGTATTTTTTTGAGTTATCATTTATGTATGTGCCTGAGGCTATAGCTGCATACGTACATATGTACATACGCATTTTTATGACACACTTTCAGTACATACAGCATCAAAATCCCGCTAAAAAAATCCCGATCAAAAAGTAAAAACGTGAGAATCTATTTACTTTTATTTTAAAACCTGCGCAGAAAAATAAATATATTATTTTAATTAAAATACTGAGCATTTTTATTACGCATTTTTTACTTATAAACACACATAAGTAAACACTGAAACAGGCAATGGCTTTTAAACCAACCTCGCCCTGTGAAGTGGTTTCATTTGACCCTAAGGACCTTATCTTCCTTTAGCAAGGGTTCATTTAATTTTTCTGTGTAAATTTGAAGTGCTCGTAAATATACTCTAATAATTTTTTTCACAGCAAGTGCAAGTATAATATAACAAATTTTTTTGTATGAAATACATATGCATGTATGTATGTGCTTACCTTGCAGGAAACGTATCTAACTATAAGCTAACTTTAAGTTGATTAGGAAGGAGCTAAAAGTCACTTATTATCTGTATATTTTCTTTGACGAAAGCTAACTATATTTCTATGGCGAAGTCCGCGAAATAGTCAACTACTTTTGGACATAAAATATTAATAGGAAAAACAAAAAAATTGTTTATGTTTTTTTATTTACTTTAATTATTTTATTACATTTTATATTCGTTTCCATATTCTGCTGTAGGTGGTCCCATATTCGAACTCCGTCAGATATAACTTCAAAATAATAATAAATATGAAATTTCGATCTTCCTTTTATTTGTCCTCAATTCGAAAAAGTATTTGCGAATTGCAGGATATTTCAATAGAAACACGTTTAAAGAAAACAATCTAAAGCTTTACTCCTGCACTACTTGTCCACTTGTTTCAAGTTAGCTTTTTGTAGCTAACTACAAGTTATATATTCTATAGAAATCCCGCAATCTTTTCTGCCGGGTACATACTTAGATAAATATGTATGCATGTGCAAATTGAATGAGCAGGGTCTTTGAGTGGCTGCTTGGACTCAAAATATTAATATACGCATATACAAATGTGTATAGTATATTTACATATGTGTGTTTTTGTATGCAAATATGTTTGTGCGTATTGACACAAGTGTTTATCTACGTATGTACATTAGGGTGCTGTTGTGGGAAATACCTCAAAATAAGTTCCCTGAAAATTTGAGCTCTTAATATTAAGATTATACCATAAAATGCCTCTGAGGTATAGAATTTTGAAGAAAAACAATAAAAGTTTGATGTGTATTTCGAATGGGAATAAATGAGGGCTCAAATTTTCAGGAAAATTTTATTTAGGCATTTCCCACACAATTTTGAGGTGGGAGTCAAAAAATAAAAATAGTCGCCGAATAAAGCACCCTAATGTACATACATATGTATATAAGTATGCATAGCATACACACATGTAAATACTACATGGACGAGTAAGTGTAAGCGCACAATTAAATTGAAAAGCGAACTTGTATGCATATACGTACATACATATGTACATATGTATGTATTCAAACTGTGTGTTGTGTTTTCGATTAATTGCATGAGATTACTGTCTAGCGCTTAATGTGCATACCCGTAAGAGAGTACATCATGCCGACATATGAGTCCTTTGAGTATCCTTTCTAATTTGTATAAACATTTTTCTTAATTTCATATATTAATTGTGAAGTTGTGTAGAGTAGTTATGTATGTAGTAAATTGATGGTAGGAGGAGTATGTACATATAAGCTTTGTTAAAAGCTTATATGGAGATACGTGTTAGTCTTATATCATCCTGTTTGGGCGGCGCACAGTGGTATTTTGGCGGAAAAAATAATTTAAATAACAAATAAAAATAAAGTTTTTGTTCAATTAAGCAACGTTTTTTACTTATATCTTTTGTTTTTATTAATTTAATTGTAGGTTCATAGGAAAGCACAGTACTTACTAGACCAAATAGAGAAAGAATCAGGACAATCGAACAGTATTTTAATAAATATATTGGCAATTTTTATGGACAAAAACTTTTTTCCCTCGTTCTTATTCCGTCTTATAGCTATAGAAAGGAATGCACTCCAATGGCTGAAATCAAATGACAAACAAAAAGTGATTAAAAGAATGCACTCCAATTGCAAAACTCAAGTGATTAACAAGAAATGACTAAACAATGATTTATGAATCATAAATCAAAAAAAAAAAAAGAATAAAGACTAATTTTTTTCAGTCTTAGTGAGGACTAACCAAAAATTATTGCAATCACCAGGCATTTCAATAGTAAATAATTTAGTTAAAAATGACTGCATTCTTTAACAGCTCTGGTAGTCGCTACATATAAGCTTTGAAAATATTTTCACTAAACATTAAAAAATTAGTGCTCATAAAATTTCTCGAGCCGAAATTTCATATGCCGCATGAACATACATACTACTTACGATGCAATAAACTGAACTAAGTCTTTCAATTTAATGAAAAGTTTCTGTGATTCACCAACGTTAGTGTTAGTTTTGTTTTTACACTATTCGATTTTACTGGAAATGTTTTTTTATTTCAGTATCACTATTGTATAGTGAGGCTGATATTTTGCAATTCACCACTAAAGATCAAGAATGGTGGTGAAAATGTTTGCTGTTAGTTTAAACTGAAAATTAAGTGCACTACCCCCAACTCAGAGTGTGAATGGCTTGAGAGTCTTCTAGACCCTCATACTGCCACTTTGAGATTGTGAAATCTACATAAAACCAGTCATAAAATGACTTGGCGTAATAATTGACGCGAGATTAGCATTGTATATGTCTGCGGAAGAGCGAGTAAAGTGGGTTGCGCCCTCTTACAAATTATGCTAAATATCTGAGAGCAAAAACAACCTCGCAAACCCACGCACATGTATAGAGCTAAGCAGCGAACCTAAAGTAATATATTCGCAGTTTCAAGTCAATCTACCGACTATGTGCACTAAGAGTTGGCTTCGCATATCGTACAGCATCCGGAGACGCTGCACTACAACTGTTTGTATCCCATCCATCCCGCCATCATTCGCCTCGTAAATTAACGCTTTCAGCTAAAAACACTCGTGCTAGACATTTATCAGAAGAAATGGGAGCATAGACTTATGTATCTCAAATATTGAAGAATGGATCTAATGATCCCACGGCGAAGTTAACTTAAGTGCTTACAGGCCACGCTTGCTTCAGATTGTACCTGAGACGTTTTCGACACGAATAGTTTGACCACTGAGAAACGTATGGAGATGGCGCTATCGGAGGCATAGAACACTAAATTTGATTCGATATGGGTAGAAATCACATTCGCTCCGTGTTTCGGATTTAATTTGACATATTTGAAAATAAATTAGGAACGCCAAAATCGATGAAACATATCTAAATATGTATGTACGTCCATAAAAAAGAACAATCATCACGAAAGACTCAAAAACTCTTGTAGCAGCTGAGGCAAGAATCATGTATACGATTATGTAGCACAAGAAGGTCAGAGGCATTACAAAATAGACAGACGTGACTCGCAAGATCTACGGCCCTGTTCGCGTGGACAACGGACGTAGGAGAAGATGGAATGACGAACTGTTTGAGCTTTTTAACGACATGGACATAATTAAGCGCATACAATACAAAAGGAAGGTATTTCGGGAAATATGAACGGATTCCACAAGTGCAGGGAGTTTTGTTTTTTTTTGAAAATTAATATCTCCTTGCTTTTGTGAATCGAAAAAATATACACGCATTTAATGTTACTTGGAAATTTTTAAACCATTAGGGAATATAAACTTTTACTGCATGTACCATTTTCGTCTATGTGTACACAGTATATGGACAAATATCCAATTTTCTATAATAATTATTATCCCTTTTTTAAAATCATTAGTTACCAGTTAGTACCATGTATGTCGAAATCGTTGGAAATATAAAAAAAAGAGAATTTACAAATAAGTTTAAAATCTAGCTTTAGGTTATCGTACACAACTTTTCTAGCTTCATTTAAGTGAATTTAATTATTTTTAGCCCTTTTGTTACATAGTGCAGCGCTTTTGTGTGAATTATTATTTATTATGTACATATGTACGTACATCCATACATATGTATGTATGAATATATTAGATGTATGTGAAAAAAATAAAAATAAAAGGTTGGCAATTACATACAACGAGCGAAGGCAAAAGTGTTGCTGGGCCAGGATGTATTATAAATATCTCGTGTGCGCATTTATTAGCTTAGGGGGTACTCCAATTTTTACTTATTAAATTTCGACGCAAATTTTTGTTTATTTGGCTATGTTTGTGTGTACGTATTTTCCGCCGTTTGGCCGCCAGCTTTGTTTGGTTAGACACTCAAAGTTAATTGCGGGTAGCTCTGAACGCGTTCATTTAATTCATCATAAACGTATACTACACATTAGGATGGGTTGTGAAAAAAAATTTTACTAATTATTTTTCCACCATCCGGTGCTAATCGGCTAGTTTTTAAGGGTATTTTATTCACTAGGCCACAAGAAACAAGCGCGTGGATAAGCGCTTTGAATTGGTACTATATATTCATTTAATTTCATACTGACTTCAAGTATCATCGATTATTTCAGACACCGTCAGAAACCCGCGGTTTAGAGAAAAAAAAATTAACGGGTTTCTGCGGTAAATGGCATTCTTATTCGTTATTTTTTTGTGTTATTGGCAAACAGAGTTATCGTTGAATTAAACAAAAAAAGAATATTTCGTTCTTAGCTCGTTTTCGCACATTTTGGCGCTTGGTGGGTTTCTGAAATAACCGTTCAAGCAAATTAAATTATCTCAGTTTCGAACCGAATAAATTAAATCGCATTAACCATATTTTTTTTAAATTGTGAAGTTTTTTATAATAATATTTATAGCTCTCTTAAATACTCATCATAATTTTATTTCATCTTTAAAATGCAATTAGCATTATGTTTGAAAATTAAGAGGGTAATGGCAAGTGTTTTCCTTGCTTTGAGAACCAATTCGGCCTAATATAAATATGTATATTATTTACTTAAGTATATTGTTAAGCACATATATACATACACATAAGTATATATAAGCTCAAATTAAACTCCACAAGAGGAAACAATAAAGCGCATTAGGTATAAAGCTCTTATTTAATCAACTTTTATATATCCTGTCATTAAACCATTACCATGATCGTTCATCCTCTTTTGTCATTTTTTGTTTGCACGTTCCAACCATTGTCATATTTATTTCAATAATTACAAAAAATACGCACTAACATGTCCGCTCGGTCCAAGGATTAATTAATTAAGCTTTGGCTAGAAGTGATTTTGGCAAAGAGATATGTATGTAGACAAATGTCATTTGTTCCCATACTAAATAACACATGCACATATCATATGTATGTATGTATGTTTGCACATATCAAGCAATGGAACTCAGCCATATCTCCATTTGGACAAGCCCATCAGCTGTCATTGGCTTAAATACAAATGCGCTTATAACCATTAAAGAGGATATGACGATCTCGATGACTCGTCGGCATTAAATATAGTAGTATAGAGTAGCAGCAACATGTGCAGAATAAAAATGTTTGCTTCACTGCCTTTTCCATTGGCTGCTTAGTTGCTGAAAATGCTTATACATCGCCTGTAAATACTTCATGTTTCATCATGCAGAATGATTCGAATCATATATGTAAATATAATAATCCGTACAGGAGATATTATTTACTACTGATAAATATTTTTGCAGATTTTGAGTTTTAGCTCAAGAGCTGCATTACTCAAGCAATAAGCTGGGATATGGGGGTTTGCATAAACTTATTAATAAAATTTGTGTGTATGAATATTTTATGAATATGTATGCATGGATAGTATATATGTACGTACGTGTGTAGCTATTCTAGAATTAGTTGAACAAAATTAGCCAGATGTAGTGGTGGAAAGATAGAAATATATAAAAATAAACAAAATTACATATGTGAGTATTTACGTAAAACATAGCTTGGTATATAACACTTTTTTATGATATACATACACTTATATTCAAGGTAATCGTTTTTGATTTTTCCTACAGAAAT